CTATGGATTTGCCTGTGCTGGGCATTTCCTGGAAATGGAATAACAATATGTAGCCTTTTGTGTCTGGTGTCTTACACTGAGCATAAAGTTTGGTAAGCGTTATCCATGCTGTTCATTCCTTTCCATTGCTGAACAATATTTGATTGTATGGATATTCTACATTTTGTTGTAGTTGGTAGATATGTGGGTTGTTTCTACTTTTTGGCTATGTACATTGTAAGTCTTGTGTGAACATATTTTTCTTTTCTTTTTTTTGAGACAGAGTCTTGCTCTGTTGCCCCTGCTGGAGTGCAGTGGTGCGATCTTGGCTCACTGCAACCTCCACCTCCTGAGTTCAAGCGATTCTCCCGTCTCAGCCTCCCGAGTAGCTGGGATTACAGATACCTACCACCGTACCTGACTAATTTTTTGTACTTTTAAGTAGAGATGGGGTTTCGCCATGTTGGTCAGGCTGGTCTTGAATCCTAACTTCAGGTGATCCATCCCCCTTCACGTCCCAAAGTGCTGGAATTATAGGCGTGAACCACCACACCCAGCCTCTTTAACTCTGTTTTTTAAAGTTATTTTTTGTGGTTGCCCTTAGAATTACAGTTAGTATCCTAACTGAAAACAGCCTAGGACCAGATTAATTTCAGTAGTATACAAAAACTTTCTCCTATTAAAGCAAAATATGTTAGTGTTAGATATTTTTGGGTACACTGTTTTAATTCCCTTGTTTCTTTACCACTTTTTCTTAAAGTTATTTTTAAGTGGTTGCCCTTATAATTGCATTTAGCATCCTAACTGAAGACAGTGTATTACCAAATTAATTTCAATTGTATACAAAAACTGCTCATTAGAATGAAGCTGTATTAAGCTTCATTCCTTTTTACCTCCTTTGTCCTATTCTTTTACACAAAATACAACTTTAGATATTATATGCCCATCAAGACAGATTTATAGTTATTGCTTTATGCAGTAGCCTTATAAATTAGGAGAAAATCACAAACATACATTTGTACACATTTTTGTATTTATCGATGTTGCGTTTATTAGAGTTCTTTATTTCTTCATGTGGATTTATGTTACTGTCTAGTGTTCTTTCATTTCAGTCGGGGGGGCCTACCTTTAGTATCTCCTGTAGGGAAGTCTCACTAGTGACGAACTTCCTCATTTTTTGTTTATCTTGGAATGTCTTCATTTCTCCTTCATCTTTAAAGGCTAGTTTTGCTGGATATAGAATTCTTTTGACTTTGAATGTGTAATTCCAATGTCCCCTGGCTGCCACAGCTTCTGATGTGAAGCCAGCTGATGTATGAGTCTCTTTACTTTTCAAAATTCTGTTGGTTCCTGGCTTTGGACAGTTTGATTCCAGTGTGTCTTTGTGTGAATCACTGTGAATTTATTCCACTGGGAGCTTTTTGAACTTTGTAGATGTGTACATTCTTGTTTTTCATCAACACTCAGCCAGGCGGTTGACAGCTCTTTCTCCTTCACATCTTGCTTGCTCAGAGCCTCAAGGTCAGTCAGAGGTGAGAGCTCAGGGCCTTCTCCGGTCTCTCTCAGGCATTTTCACAGCCCTGTGCATGCACATGGTCTTCCAGGTTCCCAGGACTGTGCCAGAGCTTTCCAGAGCCTCTGTGGACATCTGATTCTCCAGCCCCTCCTCCTGAGCTTGTCTAGTCTCTTGTTGGCCCAGCTGTGACGCACTGCCTCAGCCAGCCACAGCTAAAGCATTTGCTGTCAGTGTTTTCCATGGCTGTGCCTCCAAGCAGTGGCTTCAGGTCCCCAAACTGTCCTTTTGGAGACTGTCTTTGGATGAAACCTCCAGCCAGCTGTCTCCCTGGAGAGCGAGGCTTCTCACTGCTCTTGGCCTCGTCACATATCTGCCCTGTGTATACTGGGCACTGAGAAGTCTCTTCTTGCTGATGGAACTTTAACACAACCCTCCACTTAAAAATGTATCAGCATGGATCCTAATCACCACTGTCACTATGACTCTCTCCCCACTTTTTATAATTGCTGTTAATAAACTGCTTATAATCCATGCCATCATTCCCATAATGCTGGTCAGTGGTACTCTTAACAGTGTGCCATCTCACCTGTGACTGTGGCACCATAGGACTGGTGGCAGGTCTTGCCACCTTAAGCAGAAGGGCCCCTTATTGCTTCCGGGCTAAGATCAGAGTGGTATCTGTCTGTACGTCCAGGCTGTGTGAACTGGGCAGTGCGCCGTGTACAGGGAAGTGTCTGTTCAGCCTTGAGCCCCAGCTGCCTCGGGGGTCTGGAGAGATGTGAGGGGAGCAGGCCCAGGGCGGGCATTGGCCTTTCTTGGGGTTCTTGACTCAGCTTTCATCAATGCAGCATCCTGATGTGGCTTGAGATAAATTATTAGGCTCTAGACACACCAGAGAAAGGGTCAGCATCAAATCCATGCCAAAGGCCACTGGGATGGTTCTTTACTTGTTCCATTTCCTCTGTGGCCCCTTGAGGGCCCTGGTCTCGATGTCCCTCCTCCTGCTGTGGAAGGCCTGTGTTTCTGTGCTGTTTCCCCTCCCTGCAATCTTCATGCCCGCAGCCAGGCTCTGTTGGAGGTGTGGCATCAGCTCTGAAGTGAGGAGCGACCAGTGTGCCTGCTGGGCTCATGCCAGCGTGTGGTCTCGTGTGGGTTGGCAGGGCGTTGGCACTGTGGGTCAGCACCACACACTGGGAGTCACCATCTCGATCTGATGGGCCTGAAGTCCCATTTGGCCCCCGGGGCATGAAAACATTAATGTATTTAGAGACCGAAGCAGTGCTGTCAGCGCAAGAATGGGGCAGGAGAGTTGAGGGCAGCAACATTGGAGAGGTGCCATCAACCCTGGGAGGTAGACAGGGAACGGGCGGGGAAAGCGGCAGCCGAGGGGACTGCGCAAGGGGCAGTGGGGTGCCGAGGACGGGGCAGTGGAGCAGATGGAAGCAGAGGGCTCGGGTGAAGCAGGTCTGGAGAGGGCCACCTGCACGGGGTGGTGACCCCAGTGAGACCCTAGCTTGCTCTTCTTTGAAGAAAATGATGGAAATGAATAAGCAAACCCAGCTCCCAGCCTCATGAAGAGCCAGCCCCCACAGAGCCTGAGCGGCTCCCAGTTTCGCTCTTGATGAGGCTGATGTGGCTGGCAGCAGCCTGGATGAAGCCTACCTTTTCCCTTTTCCTGGCCTCTGAGGGTCCATGGGGCAAGAGCTGATCCATGCCTCGCCTCCATGGAACTCCTCCAAACTGTCCTCTGGAGAGAGGCCCCATGGGCAGTGGGCCACTCCACCGCAGCAGAGCAGGGCAGTGCGGCAGCTACCCAGGTCCTCTCCCCGATGCCGGTGGCTTGAGAAACAGCCTTGTGCAGGAGAGGAGGAAGCCTGGGATGAGCAGGAAATCGGCCCTGACGGACTTTCTGACACCACTGAATTCACTCACTGTGACATGCGGACATGCCTGGACAGCTGTTAGAACCCAGCAATGAGCAGACTAAAAACGAACTGAGGCTGGGGTCTTAAGAAGAGAGAGAAAAGAGACAGAAAAAGCGCAGAGATCAGCGTCGTGCAGGCCCCAGCCAGCCACAGTGTCTCCAGGGCAGGGGGTGGGGGAGATGGAGGGCAGGGCTCTGGAGGAGGTGGCAGGTCCACAGGACAAGCCAGGCGAGTACAGGTGCTGAGCACGGACGGATGGGACCCACCTCCTGCCATCCAGAGTACAGGGGCCAAGGGCTGGGGCCAAAGCTTTGAGAGAGCCTGTGGCCTCAGAGGAGCAGCCGGGGCCCGCTGGTGATTCCTGACAAGCACCAAGAGCGAGGGCAGAGCAGGAGGCTGGGGTGGAGGCCACATGAGGGAAAACAGGCTAAAGTGTGCGCATTGTGGCAGGGAGCCCCTCAACTGGGACGCCGCTGGAAGCTGATGCAAGCGGGCAGGGTCCCAGGATGCCATTCCGGGTGGGCTGAGCACAGTCAGCTCTGTCACCCTGAGGCACACACATGATTCCTGACCTTCAGAGTCATCCTCAGGATGGGCGGAGGATGACAAATGTAGGCTTTACAGCACTTAATGTCAATGCTAATGACCTCAACATGTGAAAGGCAAAGCATAGCTGACAGTGGGGTCACGGACGGGGCAGACAGGCAGGGCAGGTGAGGGGCTGTGTCCTCCTCCTCCTCCGCCTGCTGGAGGGGGATGATGGCCATGCTCTGGGGTTGGCTCCTGAGAGGTGGATGTGGTTTCAGCAGATAAGGTACAGTGCAGCCACCATGGTCGCCACTGGCCTGGGGAGCCCAGCCCTGAGGGCTGTCTGTGTGATGGGGTTTGTTGTTCTGTGTGCAGTGTTATCTATCTGGTTAATACTGAATGTGCAGCTGAAGTCAGGATAGGCTCTGCCTCCTCACTGTGTGCCATGTGATGCCCCTGGGGCTCAGGTGGCAGGGGGCAGGTGGGCGGGGGGCACAGCCACACAGCTGGGTCAGCAGACCCTGGCCTGGGCCTCGGAAACCGTGCTTCGGTTGGTGTGACCCAGCCCAGGGTTCCCAAGCTGCCGATCTGACCCCCACAGAACCCGAGCAGCTGCCAGCTCGGCAGTGCCTGTCCCTTCTCTGTCGTCCTGGTGGTGCCTGGGGCCCAGGGAAGACCAGCTGAGGAGGACATGTAGCCTGGGTGGCGGGCAGGAGGCACCTCACCTCTCTGGCAGGCTCACTTTCCTGTTGGCATCTTTTCTTTCCTCTGCAGCTGCCAAGATGAATGAACTACTGGAGAAATACAAAGTCTTCAGTGATGGCCCACGCAAACGCACAGGATAGTGGGGGCAGGAAGCCCTCTCCTGAGACTGGCTTGGCTGGGGAGTGATGAGCGTGGCAGCAGAAGCCCTTGCAGCCCCACGTTGTGCTCTCGGCAGCGACCTTTGGCCCCGTTGGGGAGGGAGAGACAGATGGGCAGTTTGATTCAGACACAAAGAAAGCCTGTTTCTAAGCAGGGGCCTCCAGCCTGCTTTCTGCTTCTATAGCTCTGCGTCTGTTTCCTAAGCTGCTCAGGTGACCCAGGTCTGGGCAGGGTGGCTGTGGCCCTCACATCACCGTGGTGGGCCTGGGCTGCACCCTTTTCCCATCGCTTCACTCCTCCCTGCTGCTGCCCGCTGCGTGTGAGCAGAGACCCACCGCTGCCTCCCCCGACTGGCCTCAGGGTCCCGCGCAGGACTCACCCCCCTGCCGCCCTCATGACTGCCCTCGCATCCCTCGCGGGGTACCCATTTCCTCCTCCTCCCTCCCCGGCGCTCAGCTCTGGGTGGGGGAATTCAGCCTGACTGGTTGTCCAGGAAGCTGCTGTCTGGGCTTCCCAGGGTGACCCAGTATCTCTCTGAGCAGTGTGCCTGTCACGGCTGCCTCCCTCCCTCCGAGCACTGGAACAGGCACGACTGGTGGGGCCTCTGCCTCCTTGGGCCCATTGTCCCACCTGCTGCTGCCCGCCCCACCCTGCTCCCTCCTGGCACCGACTCTGCTTCCCAAGGTCCCCGTGTGCCAGATCCCCTGCAGCCCTGTGACTTGAGGCACCTCCAGCCACCACTGAGATGGGAGGCCAGGCACGCCTGTGGTCACCATGGTCAGGCACTACCAGCTTTACAGGCCAAGGGACTCCTCTTGGTTACCTCTTGGTGCCCCCAGGAGGGGCTGGTCCTGCAGTGCACCCACCACCAAGGGCTGGAGTGTCTTGCTCTAGAACGAGGTACTCAGGGTGCCTCTGCTCCCTGGACCAGGAAGATCTTGGTGTCCTTTCCCTGGAATGGTGTGGGTAGGGCAGGTCCCCAAGCCTGGGGAATCAGGGGCTGGGCTTCACTCCTCCTGTAGTCCTGGCCCTCCCTGCCCACCCCCTAATGTTGCTCGTCCCTGGCAGGGGAAGCATCAGCTCAGCTCCCAGGCCAGGCCCACCTCCCTTCGCAGCAGCCTCTGCTGGGTACACGGTAGATAGGATGGATCATGAAGTCCTTAAAGCAGATAGCATCTCCCCCTTTCGGTGGGAAGTCAGCCTGCAAGGTGTGTGAGGAGGCTGCCCCAAGGCTGCCACATCCCTAGGTTTTTGGGGAGCACGGCATGTGTGGGCACCTCGTTCACACTGCAGAGCTTGCTTCATCCCCATGAGAGGCACACAGTCTCCAGTGATGGGAGACTGAGGGCTGGCAAAGAGGACCTGTTGCCTTTGTGTGACTGGCCCCAGCATGGGGGAGCCACAGCCTGGCTGGGTGGAGGATACGGCCTTCCACACTGCTCCAGCTTCCTGCCTCTGGAGCCTGCATGCAGCCCAGGGCCTGCTCCTAATCTAAACATGGGGCGTGTGTCCCAGTGACTGTGAGCTATCAAGGGGGCGGCGAGGGGGTGGCGAGCCAGCCGGCTGCGCAGGTCCTGTGGCCCCAGGCCTCATTGTTGGCAAACAGGCAGCTGGGGGCGGGCCGTGGCTGCTTATTAAAGGCTGCCTGGAGTAGCCTGTGCAGCGACAGGTGCCCAGAAGCCCAGGAAGCCGGTCAGTGCCTGCCCCAGGTAAGCTGGTGCGGTGGGGTTTGCATGGACAGTCACCCCGGGAGCCTGGGGGCAGGCATGCAGAGGCCAGCTCGGGGTCAGCACTTGTGCCAGGGACAAGGCCGGGGAGGTGGAGCGTGGGGGAGCTGGGGCACTGCATGGGCACTTTCAGGACGCTGCTTGCCTGCTCCCTGGCGGCTGCTTCCAGAGCTGGAGACCCATCATTGCTATGCCCTAGGTTCCCTGCCAAAGTGTCCCTGGGCTGCAGCTGCCTCTCCCAATCCCTGCTGGGGACTGGCTGGGGGCAGGCAGTAGAGTGCTCTGAGGCCTGCTTTTTTTTTTTTTTTAGAGGTGGCAAGAGTGGGGCTGATGCTTCCAGAGCCAAAGGTCACAGGTGCTGGGGTCGGGGGTGGCAGGAAGTAAACCCCAGAGGGCTCGGAGCTTTGGCTAGGGAGGGTGGTACGCAGCAGGGCCCCACTCACCTCAGGGTTTGTGCCTCTTGCGCTGGCAGTTTGAGACCTTGCTATCCCCATAGGAACATCACCATGTCAGAGGCACCCCGGGCCGAGACTTTTGTTTTCCTGGACCTGGAAGCCACTGGGCTCCCCAGTGTGGAGCCTGAGATTGCCGAGCTGTCTCTCTTTGCTGTCCACCGCTCCTCCCTGGAGAACCCGGAGCGTGATGAGTCTGGTGCCCCAGTACTGCCTCGGGTCCTTGACAAGCTCACGCTGTGCATGTGTCCAGAGCGCCCCTTCACTGCCAAGGCCAGCGAGATCACTGGCCTGAGCAGCGAGGGCCTGGTGCAGTGCCGGAAGGCTGGCTTCGATGGCGCCGTGGTTCGGACACTGCAGGCCTTCCTGAGCCGCCAGGCAGGTCCTATCTGCCTTGTGGCCCACAATGGCTTTGATTACGACTTCCCCCTGCTGTGTGCTGAACTGCGGCGCCTGGGTGCCCACCTCCCCCGGGACACTGTCTGCCTGGACACACTGCCAGCCCTGCGGGGCCTGGACCGCACCCACAGCCATGGCACCCGGGCCCGGGGCCGCCAGGGTTACAGCCTGGGCAGCCTCTTCCACCGCTACTTCCAGGCTGAGCCGAGTGCGGCGCACTCAGCCGAGGGTGACGTGCACACCCTGCTCCTGATCTTCCTGCACCGCGCCACAGAGCTGCTCACCTGGGCAGATGAGCAGGCCCGCCGGTGGACCCACGTTGAGCCTATGTACTCGCTGCCCAATGACCCCAGCCTGGAGGCCTAAGCACCAGGGCCACTCCCTGTGCCTAGGGCAGTGCCAGTGTCCACTGTTCAGCCAGCCCCTACCACCCCCGGCTCCTTCTATCTGGGCAGCCCCAGGTGTGTGCACCTGCGAGGCCTTCCCTGGCTGCCTGACCAGCCACACACCCCCGGAGTCCTCTCCAGGCCCTGCCTCTGGGGCTGTGCTCCCCCAGCCAGCCTTCGTGCCCAGCAGAGTTTGCTGTTTCTCAATAAACATTGCCAACTACTTACCCTCTTGACTCGATGGCCAGATACTCGGGGCTGGACTCTCCCAACCCCCTGCTGAGAGGTGCCAGGCGGGAAGCCATGCCAGGGGCCAGCACAAGACCTCCAGGACCGCCCCACTATGGCCTCTCCGCACAGTGAGGTCCATGGGTAGCTGGGTGGGAGATGTCAGGGCTCTTGGGCTGTCTGAGGGGCTGATGGGTTGTGGCCGTGGGCCCTGAGTGCTGGCTCTCTGCATTGTCGCCCCAGAGGCCCAAAGAAGCCATGAATAGGGCCTTAAGCCCGCAGAGCCAGCCAGCTGCTGGGTGCAAAGCCCAGCTGAAGCATTAGCCCGCTGTGGGACCTCGAGTCTCTCCCTGCTCTGTGAAGTGGTAACGGTGAAATGCTAAGAAACTGGGTGCTGGGGAAAAGGGAGGTGCCCCCACATGTGGGTCTGCACATGTACAGGCTGAAGGCTCTGGCTCTGAGGGGGCATAGAGAAGGGGTGGGTGGCTGGCGCTGTGAGGGTGACACTAGAAGGAGCCTATCCTGCACCATGAGTCTTCTCTAGGGCCAGGAGGCCGCTTGGTGGGAGGGCAGCTTCTGGCCACCACGCTGCACTTCAGGTTCCCTGCTAACCTGTCCCAGGGGCCCCACCCTGAGGCACTCCCAATCTTGTGGGGAGTCCTCATGGGTGGGGAGAGACCTGTCACCAATGCTGGGGCAGGTAAGAAGGGGTGGGGTGGCCACACCTTAGAGTGACTCACATGAGCAAAGCCGGAGCCTCCAGCTAGCCGGGCCATCCAGGACGCCCTAAGTAGGTCAGAATGACTGGAGCCACTGCAGTTTGCACGGTGGTAGGTTGGTGAGGCCAGAGCACAGGTGGCCACCTCGGTCCTTCCACCTGGGCCAGACCTGATCCTGAGGGCAGCGGGGAGCCACAGAGGGTCTGAGCAAGAGAGGGCGAAGTCTGTGTGCGGAGCTCTTCTCCTGTTGCTGTGAAGTACCTGAGGCCAGGTCATTTACAAAGACAGCAGGTTTATTTTGGCTCAAAGGCGCCAGCATCTGATACTGGTGGGGCCTCAGGAAGCTTCCACTTAAGGCAGAAGGCAAAGGGCAAGCCAGAGAGAGGCGGGGCGGTGCCATACTCTTTAATCACCAGATCTTGAGTGAACTCAGAGTGAGAATTCACTCCCTGCGGAGGTGAGGACGGCGCCAAGCCATTCATGAGGGATCCAACCCCATGACCCAAACGCCTCCCACCAAGGCCCCACCTCCAACACTGGGGGGCTCATTTCAACCTGAGATTTGGAGGGGACAGACGTCCAAATCACATCAGGCTGCTGCATGAACGGGCCGGAGAGGAGAGCAATGCAAGACGGGCAGAAGCAGAGCGTGGGGGCCTTTGGCGGACGAGGGGAGAGCCATGGGCCTGGCCAAGGACAGTGGCAGTGGGGGAGGGGAGTGGCACGGTCTGGGGAAGCCCCACAGGGACTAGTTTGGGAAAGTGGTTAGTAACCAGAAGATCTTGTTACAGCCAAGCTTCCAGAGGAGAGCATCACCTGGGAGAGTGTCACAAAGCCTGGGCTGGCCCCACAGGAGCTGGAGTAGGGCACATTAAACCTTCAGATCCCCTGGTGCCCAGATAGGGCCTGCTTCCCTTTATCTGACTGGCCAGGTTCCAGCTGGGCAGCTGGAACCAGCAGGTGGCACCCTTAAAATCCTGGCCTTGGTTGGGCGTGGTGGCTCACGCCTATAATCCCAGCACTTTGGGGGGCCGAGGCAGATGGATCGCTTGAATCCAGGAGTTTGAGACAGACCTGAGCAACATAGCAAGATCCTGTCTCTACAAAAATTAAAAAGAAAAATTAGGAGTGCAAGCACACATCTGTAGTCCCAGCTACTCAGGAAGTTGAGGGCCGGGGGATCATTTGAGCTTGGGAAGTTGAGGCTGCAGTGAGCCCTGATGGCACCACTGTACTCCAGCCTGGGCGACAGAGCGAGACCCTATCTCAACCCCACCCCCGCAAACCAAAAAACAACAAAAAACCCTGGCCTTGTCACTGACTTCCTGGGTAGGTGACAGCAAGTGGGTCTCTTCTCATTGGCTGTGCTAGAAGGGCCTCAACCATAGGATGGGACAGACAGGCAGGTGACAGCCTGATTTTGGCTGTTGCCACCTCTGTGGACGGGTCTCTGGTCTTGGGCTGAGGTGCCTCTCTCATCACTCTGGGCTCCCCTGGCCTCACGGTGGCCTAGCCTTAGGCGCCCTCCCTGAGTCCATGTTGCATACCATGCTGCACAGACAGGCTGTGACCTGCCACTCTGCTGCCTCAAAGCAGAAATGTGCTTATAAATGGTTAACAATCAGCTTTCCAGGAAAGGAAATGTACACGCATATGTGTAGGCATGGATCGTTCTCCCTTCCTCCCCCGTCTCTCTCTCTATATACACACAGGCACATGCATACATATACATGAACACACAATTTACAAATAATAAAACCAACAATATACGTAAAATAAGCCACAAAATATACAATATACTCTTCATTGCAAATTCCACCTGGACAATCGATACTCACAAAATAACTTGATTGACTTTTACTGAGTTCTTGCAATGGATGGACAGGTGTGGTTCCCACATAAATGTTGGCTGATGTTTTCATTTATTTTAATGAATAAGATAAATATGAAGCAGCAGAGATGAGCAACTTCTTTCCTCAATTGGATGATAGTTTTCAAATACCGGAAGTGAGTGTGTGTGTGTGTGTGTGTGTGCGCGTGTGTGTTTGCTATTCATAATGTAATGGCCACAGACCCAACATTCTTCAGTTTAATCTGCAATATTAACATTTTGTTCATCACTTTCTAAAGTCTAGACAATCAACAAAACAGTAATACATCAAGCCCTGGCATGCCGTGGCATGCCGAGCTCTGGGGTATAATACTTTCAGTCTCAAACTACCAACATGGAGTCACTGAAGGTGACCTTGGGAAGAGATTCCAGAATTTCCACCACACACATCTGACAGATGTCAACACACAGTAACAGTAAAGCATGCTTGAATAATTAAGACGTGAGTTTTGAGTATCTCCTTTGTTTTTAATATGATTTTTCAAATAATGATAGGGTTTTTTTAGCTCTAAAAATTCCCGAACGTTCAACATCTATTAGAACGGCTAAAACAAAACCACTGACCACACCAAGTGTTGGTGTAATATGGAGGAGATGTGGAGCACTGGGAATGCCCTCTGTTTCTGGTGGGAAAATGGGGCAGTCATTTGGGAAAACACTTTGGCAGTGTCTGAAAATGTTAAACATGCACCTGCCATATGAGACAACAGTTCCACTCCCAGGCATTTACCAAGACAAAGGATTAAGTAACCATACAAAGACTCATACTCAAATGTTCACGGTGGCTTTGGCATGGTAGCCCCAAACAGGAAACAGCCCCAATGTTCATCATCAGGTGAGTAGTTGGACAAGCCGCAGTGCGCCCACAGCACGGACTACTCAGCAGGAAGAAGTGAGTTCCCAATGTGCGAGCTCGTTTCCATGGGACTCAAGGTGGTGCTGCAGAGCCAACAGAGCTAGACCAGCGAACAACTCCATTGCTCCAGCTTGCCCTGGCCAGCTGCCTGCCCCTCGCCAAGCTGCATCACTGACTGATGAACCACATCAGGCTACCAGGGGTGTCCACCAGTGGGGACACAGTGGTGATCACAGGAGTGTACCTGGGGGACATGTGACATAAATTGAAAACTGGAATTCACCATGGAGAGGGATGAATACTAAAATCAAAGGCCATAGCATTTAAGCTTGTCTTTGTGCAGAAGACAATGTGGGGAGCGCAGAGAGTCTGAAAGCCACAGCAGAAGGCTGGGGAGGGCCACGGGAGCACAGTGGGACATGTGCACTTCTTGTAAATGATGCCTGCACCCTGCCTGACGGTCAGCTGCAGAGGTTTCACATAGGGGAACCCCAGAAACAGTATTAACATTGTGGGGATGCTGGTTTTTTGCAGCTCAGCTTGTGAAAGTGTACCTCCCACTCACAGACGTGCACACTCTTGCACGTGTGAAGACACACACACACACCCAGCACACACCACAAACACGTGCACACACACCACACACACGTGCACGCACACGTGCACACACCCACACTTGTCCACATCTGTACATTTGCACACATGTGCACACATTACCACATGCGTGCACACTTGCACACACACTTGCACACCTCCATACACATGCTTACAATTGCACACACCCACATACTTGTCCACATATATTCACACACAAAACCACACACTCAAGTATTCATTTGCACACCTGAGCAGACACAGCTGCACATGCACACAACCACACACTTGTGCACACACCTGCACACACCAGTATACCTGCACACACTTGTACACACTTTCACACACCCACACACACATGCACACTTGTGCACACACATATGTATACTCACACAAGCACACTCACACACAACCACAAATGCAGAAACACTTGCACATACATTCATTCTTGCACACACACTTGTACACACTGTTTCCATCCATTCTAGAGTTGTATTTGCCATTTAATGTCTGTTGAGCATCAACTTCCTCTAAGGGATTCACCTGGGACAAGGACCTGGGAAGTGTTACTTGCATTTGGACTTAGTCCCTATGGGTTCCTATAACGATAATACTGTAGACTGGGTGGCTTATAAACAGCAAACAGTTATTGCTCACAGTTCTGGACTCTAGAAAGGCCATGATCAAGGCAGCAGTAGGTTCAGAGTCTGGCAAGGGCTGGTTCCTCGCATTGTGGAAAGGACTAGCTGGCTCACAGGGTCTCCTGTGAGGGCACTAATGTCATTCACGTGGTGTGGCCCTCGTGACCTATTCACCTTCTAAATGCCCCACCTCCTACTGCTGTCACCTTGGCGATTCAGTTTTAACATTCATTTTGGGGGGAGACATGCAAGTCCCCACTCCCCCACCACACACACATGCAACCCCCCACATCACATACCCCAC